ATATATATATATATATATATATATATATATATATATATATATAATATTTATAAAATTGTATTATGGTTGTTTAATTTATCCTCCTCTCGATGTTTGTGTTAAATATTCTTTAATTTTAAATTTTTTTCATATATAGGATTTTTTTTCTTTACTTGCATCGTATTGATTATATTTGTTGAATCATTCTTGTAGCTGCAGTATATATGATATTCTTCTTTTGTATCTAATTTATTTCCTTTTGATCCATAGTCCAAAACTGTCATATCTGTTTCTATTTTAGTGAATTTATGATTCTCATTAAGCATGTGTTCTGCTACATTACTTTTCATACTAGTCACATTCTTTGATTTATACGCTTGTACATGTTCTTTATATCTACAATTGAACGACCTTCCTGTCTGTCCAATGTAATACTTTTCACAATCTGAACATTTAATTTTATAAATACCGGAGTTTTCATATTTTGATGTTACAATTTGGTTAAAAATAAATCAAAGAATGTGACTAGTATGAAAAGTAATGTCGCAGAACACATGCTTAATGAGAATCATAAATTCACTAAAATAGAAACAGATATGACAGTTTTGGACTATGGATCAAAAGGAAATAAATTAGATACAAAAGAAGAATATCATATATACTGCAGCTACAAGAATGATCCAACAAATATAATCAATACGATGCAAAATAAACAAAATCCTATATATGAAAAAAATTATAAAATTAAAGAATATTTAACACAAACATCAAGAGGAGGATAAATTAAACAACCATAATAAAATTTTAGATATATATATATGACAAATTCCATGACCAAAGATTATTTTACTATACATTTTAAGAAAAAAGAAAAATCATATGTAATGATCATCACATGATGTTTATTTGTTAATTAATTTGTTTGTGTTTGAAGTGAGGTTAAATGTTACTCTTGTAAATGGCCTAAAGGTCGAAACATGTAGAGTTTTAAAAATAAAAATAATTTCAGGGTACTGAGTTAATATGTTTTCTTCATTATTTATAATAGTAGCCCTTTATCTAAACAATTATATATATATATATATATATATATATATATATATATATATATATATATATATATATATATATATATATATATATATATATATGTGTGTGTGTGTGTGTGTGTGTGTGTGTGTGTGTGTGTGTGTGTGTGTGTGTCCGTTAGCACGATAACTCGAGCAAAAATGATCCGATTTTGATAAAATTTGGTACAAACGTGTAAACCTACGTTTATTCGAACGAGTTCGCGATCCAGCATGATTGGACCATGGGAAGGGGGGTTTACGGGGGGTTTTATGGGGTAAAAATAGGTTTTTCCCATTTTTGACCCAAAAAACATAAAATTTAGCAATTTCTTTCCAAACCATTTTGTAGAGCTTAAAAAAACTAATAATTTAGTATATTGAAGCGTTATCATGCGCCTAATGGTTACGGAGAAAATTCCTTAAAATTGTAAATTTAAAATTCCCATGTTATTCTTATGGAGAATAAGTAAACTGTTGTAGTTTGCTTGTTTATGAGCATATTTTGATCAAATTTGGAAATTAATTGTTTTTATTTCTTACTAACTATTAACATTGTACAAAAAAACAGTTTTACCCTCCCTGATACAGCAAACCTAAGTACTTGTTAAACTAATTTTATTTAAATCGGGAATAAATGTTATATTTTTAAGTAGACATTTAAGTGTAAATCCAATCAGTCAAATGAAAAATCGCTTAGTCTGCAGGTTTGCTGCGGCGGGGGTATTTTATTCCGTGACTACTTTACCTGAGAGTTATTTACGTGTTAATTGTACCATATTATTTTGTTCGTCTGTATAATTTTTCAATCTTTTATTATATTACCACGAACGACCATGTTACATATATGAAGGAAACTAAAAGGAAAATAATATATAGAAATGATATTAATGTTCTTATTTGGTTTGCAGGTTCTGTTTAAAGTAATGGTAAAAGATAAATTTTGTTTGGCATTCAATGGTATAATTTCATAAAAAAATTAAATGTAAATGTAATTCTACAGCAAAGACTGTGTTTTGTTATTAGGGCTGATGTCTCCAAGTAGAATGAAGAAAGATAATACCTTTTTAATATCCTATCCTTAATTTCCAAGTATTTAATGGGGTTAGAAATTGTTTAATATTTTTCTTCAATTGTAAAGGGTATAATGAAGTGAAAAGTTATGTTCTGAAGGATGTTTAGTTTTAGTTTTGATTCTCTAATAAATTAATTTTTTACTTGGGATGTCATTTAATTTAATTTCCTAAGTCAAAATTTGTACCGGTAAGGTAAAAAAAAATACGGTACAAAATATGCGCCACTCTGCTTTTTTAAATCAGCCATGTATCTTGTGTAAAATAATTATCTATTAAATTGTGTTTTTAGCTTGTGTTAATTTATACAAAAAAAACACGATTAAGGTTGATTTATTGTTAAAAGATGAACTCATCTTTGAGTTAGAGGTACGAAATTTAAAATTAAGCGAAACAAGTAATGTTGTTGATTAAGGAAAAATGTTAAGACAAGCCATATCACAAAAGGTCCAAGTAAATCTATATAATTAATACACTACATGAAAATTTGTCGGTTGAACTCCTCCGCCATTTCTTAACCGATTTTATCCATTGACGTCTCATTGGAAAGAGCGTGTCGCGTAGATTTGCAAACTGGTCTTACATTTTTGAAAAAATCCCTTGGGCTCTGCCCCAGTGGCTTTGAAAGTTTCCATGTTATCCTTATGAAGAACATAATTGTTTACATTTTGATCAGCTGTATAATTTAATTGCTGTTATTTATTTTTCAATTCAATGAAACGCATTGAGTACATTTATTTACTATTTGAGTTTGTGTAAACACAACCCCCAAGACTGATCGTGTCAGTATGGTTGTATCTTAAATTTGTGTATTTATCGTTGTTTTGTGTCGCTATGATGGATTGTGTTAGCATGATTGTAATTTAAATTTGTGCATTCATCATTGTTTTGTGTAGCTATATTTTGTTTATTTGTTGTTTTTGTAATGCCTCCGACACGACGACAACGAAACATGGACAGGAGGCGTAATCGTGATAACGACCGCAGCTACAGAACAGTGTGCTGCGGACAAACTCAACTATTAGGTTACAAATGCGCCCTTTAACACTACCCCAAAACGACTTTTCGTTCTCAATTAATTAGTCCTCTATCATGACCTGTGTTGCCTGTACAGCGAGGCATTTTAAGAAGGAGAAAACCGGCCGGAAAGCTTTAGGTTTATCAATAACGAAGATAAACATGGTCTGAGTTACACACCGGTAATCTTTGAGTTGACTCTTTTAAACACATTGTAAATAGGACTGTTATTCGTTTTGAAATAATTCCTGTAATACTTTGCAATTGCTCGAATTCGAGCAACATGTACACTAGTTATGATTAAATTAAAACAAAAATTGTGCCGGATGAGGAAATAGATTTAAAAGGTTTACTAAATTAACGGAGAGAAATTACCTTTAATAAAATTTAAGATATGCCTAGACAACATAATAATTGTAACGAAAAAACCTCCATATAACATGAAACTTAAATTGAAAAAATAGCATAGTTTGCTCCAGCTAACAGCTCTTGTCAAGGACTATTCCTGTGCTGTGCTATTGGATTAAGACGAATACCAAGTTCAATTAATAGGAATATAACTGTTTATTCCCTTTACTTGTCAGAACTAGCCTACTATAGCGAACTTGTTACATAGCTAAGTAGGCCTACATGTTATTTTTACTTTCCAATTTTCAACATCTATACTTATTTAATACGCAAGCAGGTTTTTTTGTGATAATTACTCCTCCGAACTACTAAACCAATTGACATGTTTTTGGTGTCATTGGAAAGAGCGTAATGAGAAGTTGTGCAGGAAACTTTTTTTAAGGAAATAATTAGAGAGTAAGGCCCTAGGGCCCTTTAAAGTTTCGTATTTCTCCAAAAGATTAACATGGGAAACAAAAATTGTTATAAAACTCCAGCCGTTGTCAGAAATTAAAAGTGAGAAGAAGAACATATGTTAATTAATTGTAAACAGTCAATAAGTTTGCTAATTTAACAGTTTGCTACAAACATTTACTGACTTGGTTGAAATGAAATATTTACTATTTGAATTTGGGTTGGCGTAAATATTACAATGGAAAAATCGAGAGAGCCTGGATAAATTGATATAGTAAAGAAAAAACTGATCCAACACTGTGCTGCATTTCTTAGTAATCATTGAAAGAGCGGATTTTCAAACCATGGAAACATAGGAAATTCATAGCCCGCCACCAAGGAGAGGAAATAGAAATAATGTTTTTTTTTAATTTATAATCGTCGTTATGGACAACCTAATGCAGCTATGAGTATGGCTATTTTTAGAAAACACTAAAAAACAAGATCAGCTTTTGAACAATGATAAGATATTTACAAGATATGTTGATTATTTCAATCAGTTAGGTACATCTTTGAGTATTTCTATAATCTTTGAGTCATCAGAAATTATGAATGTTATTTGTTTTAAAATAACACCTGTAATACTTGGCAATTGCTCGGATTCGAGCAACAGGGACACTTGTGTTTAAATTAAAAAGCCGATTTCAGGAGAGGCGAATACTGTTTTCTGCACCAACGTTTGTTGAAGCATAATTTGCCCTATGCATAATGCCAATAAAGGACGATTTCTTTGACATTGAAAAGTTTTATTCATAGAACATGTAACTTATAACTATGGTTAAAAGTTATAGCAATGTCACACATTAAAACATAACATTATATGCGTTTTTAACATTAAAAATAAAGAAAGACAATAAACTCCAATAGTAGGTGTTGTAAGAAATACTTAGTAAACCAAAAGTATGGCTTTTATTCATTCAAAATTACAACCATGTTTTAGTTAAGAACAAATACAATATTTACAAACAAATCAAATAATAAATATTATCAGGTGATAATGTTCACATCACCACATTCTCCCCCACTAGTTTTCAAGGTAGGTATAGCATATGTAATCCTTTAGATATGACGGAGGCTTGACATTCCTCTTTGGACGTAGTTTCCCCACAGCCGTCTCTGAAGTTGGGGTCTGAGATACCGTTTGTTGAGTTTCATTTTGAACTTCATTGTGGTCAATGTCTGAATTTATATTTTCAACAATCTCTCTCTCAGTAGTGTTGTCTTCATGAGGTAGATCACCAGGAGGTAGGCCAGCGGGTGCAAGATGTCTCAGGGATACTTGTGATTCTGACTCATCTCTTCTTCTGACGAGAGCGTACTGTGGATTTGATTCCAAAAGTTGAACTGGTTCCACAAGGTCATAATATTTATTAGATCTTACAAACTTTCTAATCAGGACAGAACCAGGAGCGGATAGCCAAGATGGTAAGGAGTCTCCATTGGTAGATCTTCTGCTATGTATAAAGAATCTTTCGTGCGGTGTGCAGTTTGTCGCAGTGCATAAAAGAGATCTGACAGAGTGAAGTGCCTCCTGTAATACTTCTTCCCATGCAGGAACTGGCAGGTTGTGGTTTTTCAAAGCTAGTAGGATGGTTCGCCATATTGTTCCATTGAAGCGTTCAATCTGAGAGTTCCCTCTAGGGTTATAAGGTGTCGTATGACTTGTAGCTACTCCGTACTTGTGAAGAAAGTCCGTCAGCTCTTGCGACATGAAAGATGAACCTCTATCTGAATGTACAAAGGACGGGGCTCCAAACATAAAAAATAGATCTGAAAAACATCTGATAACTGTTGCTGAACTAATGTCCTTACAGGGGTAAGCAAATACAAAACGAGAATACTCGTCCACCATGGTTAAAAGGTAACGGTTTCTGGTTGTTGATGGAAGAGGGCCCTTAAAGTCAATATTTAGACGTTCGAAGGGAGTGGTTGCCTTTATCAATTTGCCTTGGAATTGGTGAAATCTTGGCTTCACTTCTGCACATGTTTGACAAGCTGACGTCATCCTTTTTACATCATCCAGAGTGTAGTTTAGATTTTTAGTTTTAATCCAATGAATCATTCGAGTGACTCCCGGATGGCAGAGAGATTTGTGTAATTCAAACAACTTAGCATTGTCCCAGCGAACCACACATGCCCGAGAGAGCGTATCTGCTTTTACATTCTCCCTACCAGGTCGGTACACTATTTCATATTGATAAGGTGTTAGCTCTAGTCGCCATCTCATAACTTTATCGTTCTTGATTTTGCTTGTATGCCTCTTGTCAAAGATAAATGATAAAGCTTGCTGATCTGTGTATAATCTGAAGTCTCTTCCGATAAGAAATGATTTCCATTTTCGAAGGGCTTCGACAATGGCAACGGCTTCTTTTTCAACAGCTGAATACAGCTTCTCAGATTTGTTTAGAGTCCGTGAGAAAAAAGCAATTGGCCGATTATCTTGACTCAAAGTTGCTGCCACGGCTATGTCAGATGCGTCAGTCTCCACTGCCAGTGGCTCTTGCCCATTCCTAGGAGTAATTACTGAGTTTGCAATGTCAAGTTTGAGGGCTCCAAAATCTGCAACCGCTTCCTGTGACAAAGGAAAAGAATTTACTTGTGTCAGGTTTCTTATTTTATCAGAAAACCGATGTATCCATTTTGAATAGTGAGCGAAAAATCCTAGGACTCGCTTTAGTGAAACTTGGTCTTTGGGCACAGGAAGTGACAGTAGAGATTCTAGTCGATCTGGATCAGGTCGAATAGAGTTATGGGAAACTAAATGTCCCAACAAGGTTATTGAAGACTGGTTGAACTTGCTCTTTTCGTTGTTGATTACAAGTCCATACTTAGTTACAGCATCTAAAAATGTTCTTAGATTCTCATCATGATCCTTTTGATCCTTTTCACATACGGTCAAATCATCCAGATAGGCAGAGTTAAATTGTAGAATAGTTTGGGTGGTTCAACTTTGGCACAGGAGCACACCAACAGAGGAGGTTTCTTACCTCCAAACCAAACCTGTATATTTGAGTGGAGTTTCATGATATCATGTCCGATAAGCACATCAGTACAAAGATCTTCAAGAACAGTCAACTTAAAATTGTTGTAATTGTGATTCAACAGATTTAGGTTGATTTTAACGTTTGATTTCATATTAGAAGCAGCTAGTGATACTTGTCCACTTTCATTATACATTTTAATTTTGTTTAACTGAACAAACTTCAAGTTTACAAAGCTTGATGTACTCCCGGTGTCTATTAAGCAATTTGCTTTCAGGCCATTCACTTTAGCTTCAACTGTAGAGTCCTTCAATACAGATGTATTATGTGTAGTTGCTATTAGTGCAGCTGATGTACTAGACGTCTTCTGTTTTACTTTAAAATGTTGAGTTGGATTGCTTTTACAGACTCTCGCATAATGCCCTGTCTTGTTACATTTCCCACAAGTTGCTTCTCTGGCTGGACAGCGATCTCTAGAGTGTCTATCATGCCCACAAAAATAACACTTGCCATCAATATTTTTAATAGCGGAAACAGTCGCTTCTTCCTTTTGTTGTAGTGGGAATTCGTACTGACAAGCTTGCTTTGCCAATTCATTCGTTGCACAAGTTTGCATTCCGTACATAGATTTTGGATAGCTCTCGACTTGAGCTTGAGCCATTTCAAGAGCTCTAGAGTGTTCCACTGCTTCAGCTAGGTCTAAAGTTTTATTTTAAAATAGTCTCTGTCGTATGTATGACGAGGCTAATCCATTGATAAAAGCATCACGAATGTAATGATCCCTGTATTGAATCGCATTAACAGCTTCAAAAACGCAATCTTGGCTCAAAAGTTTCAGTTCCGACACATATTTGTCAATAGTCTCACCTTGTTACTGTTTTCTAGTCATTACTAAATATCTTGAGAATATTTCATTCTTTTGTTTGATGTAAATTGAGTTAAGAACTCTCAAAGCGTATTGGTAAGTTTCAGATTCCTTGATAAATTTATAAGTAGTAAAAGATAGTCGATTAGTTAGTAGTTTCAGTTTGTCCTTGTCTTCAACGAATTCTGTCATGGTTAGAAAGTCTTCGAATGTTTGTAACCAATGCGTCCATTCCTCTGAGGCAGTTGGAGATTCCGGGTCAATTTACAATTTGTCTGGTCTAAGGAATTTCTCCATTGTAATGTAGCACTAACTGAGTTTATCAATGAATGAATAAAATTGTTGTAAGAAAGACTTAGTAAACCATAAGTATGGCTTTTATTCATTCAAAATTACAACCATGTTTTAGTTAAGAACAAATACAATAATTACAAACAAATCAAATAATCCTTATGGTATATAATACGTGAAGGCGATTTCTACAAAACACTACTCCTCCGTTAATAATGGACGGATTTTTACAAACGACGTGTCAAAATAAAGTATTTTTTGTGTAGACGCCCCCTTTCACCAATTCATGTAATAAAAATCCTCGGGCTTTGCCCCACAGACCATCAAAGTTGGAGTTTCTCCCATAAGATTAACATGGGGTAATCTAAATATTTAATTGGAAACTTTGTCCTCACTAATTTGAGAGAACGGCTGGGTGTAGAAACTTGGTAGAGGTGTCCAAAGAAAGGTCTTTGTCTGTAGATGAGTTACAAAAAGAAAAACCAAGCAAAATTCCTTAAGACTCTGTCCCAGAAGCCTTTAAAGATCCCTCCACAGAGTTGTTTACATTTTGGTCATGTGAATAATACTTTTTAATGAAACAGCTGTTCATTTTTATTAGGGAATAGGGAATAAGCTATTTAAATTGTATTTCAAACAACACACATTTATTTGGAGTTACTGAATTCTACCAAATAAGTATTTCCAATGTTATTTTCTGATTTTAAAATTGATTTTCTTCTTTATCATGTAATGTTTTGCAATATAACGTTCCATTACGAAATCATTGGAAAATCCTTTTATCAGCAATTCTTAAATCATTTCTCATTGAACTATCTTATATCTGGGTTGGTGTCTGCCTTTTTCACCACTTTTTCCTACATTTTATCATATTATTGTACACATATCAAATATGCATTTATGTAGAAATATCTGCTCTTATCGTGTCTAATAAAGTTCAAACATAGAAACCTTGCCTAAAATGGTACCCATCTTGACAAATTATTTGCACATGCCTATATTAAGGACTTTGGCGCACTGGGTTGGTAACATTATTGAAAATAACACGACATTTTGGCTGTAAAATATGGTACAAAGAGAAAATACTATTTAAGCAGCTACTGTCATGACAGAAAGGTCATACTGTATTCCTTTTAAACTAGATCACATAATCCTTTATAAGATACGTTGTTTAACAATATGTAAACGTCTATATATACGTAACAGCCAATTTACAGTATTTTTGCTTTTTGGAAATGTCCCATTGCTATGTCATTTGCATTATTTGTTGCCATTGAAGCTGCAAGACCATATGGACCAGGAGGCCCCTAACAGTTCAAGAATAAAAGCCAACTTCACTTCAAGTATTTTACTACACCTAACATTCCGTAGAAAGATTATATTGAGAACTTTATGTCATTGATAAGGCTGAGACAACTAACTTACATCCCTCATGTCAAGGAATTCCAGCTTTTTACAGTAACCCCACAATCAATTTCTCAAAACTATGCTAGAGGGTTCATTCATTGGCACAGAAGTACGATATGAACTGAAGCGACACGCGACGTGACGAAGGAAAAATCAAACTTACACTGTAACGGATATACCCTCCTTTGAATTTAGAAAATGTCTTCCCAAAAAATATTTCCTTTTGAAATAAAATCATATTACACTGATGAAATCACGGAAGTAATTTCATTCAATTTAATTTCATTTAACTCAATCAATATCATTATTGTTTTTACACTTATTGCTCTTTAAACAATGCTAAATCCTCAAAATATGTATATTTCACCCAATTTATCGCAGTTGGATGAATTAACGTAAGCCTTCAATGTAACCGTCGATTTTGACGGGTTTCACCTAGTAAATATTATCAGGTGATAATGTTCACATCACCACAGTAGGCTAGGTTCTGTAACACAAAAAAGTATTTTTCAATAATCGTTTTACAGTTTTATTGGCCTTAATAGTTGATATAAGACATCTATAAACTAATGTACATTAAAGAAATAAGATGAGTTTTTAAAATATAGTTTGGTTGAATGTCCTTTGAACTTAATGAAATTTACATATAAGATGCTTAAAAATAATGCAATATTTTAAAAATAAGTACTAAATATGATGGGACACCCAACTATTTGGTTTGTGTTGTTGTAATGGGTAAAGCGACAACAGGACTGAATTTGACCTGGGCCAGCCAGAGCCCTCTGGGGCAGTCGTGCGTCATAATGCGAGGGTGCGACATTAGGACTGAATGGAATCTCCCCGTTCTCCCTGCCTTATTCCCATCACCCTACCCCCGGACACATAGTGAACTAGTGGGATAGTGAACGGATCGGCTCATGGAATCGTTCCCTTGTTAGCATTCGTCTTTATTAATATAATTTAGCCGCTATTCCAGTGCCTCGCAACGAGATCAAGATTCAGAAGAGACAATTTTGGTTCCTTTAAAATGCCGTAAAATGGTTGTTTGATCACCCATTTTATTTAGATACGAAATTCAACCGTACCACTTGACTTGATTCAAAAGTCCGCTTTGTTAACTCAGATTGTAAACACTTATTTAGGCTACCTAGGATGGTGTAAAAGTAATGACGATGCACTCATTGAAATATTACATTGTGACCTTTATGATTTTATGTTTAAAAATACGCTTACTAACAAGTGTATTTACTAAAACAAAGTGTTGTACGTCAATTGTTACAACGAATAAAATCCTGATCAGCTGATTAGTTGACGTTCGAAACATTACAATTTTACTTCTTTTCTCTCAATCCTTGAATCTCATTGGTCCGTTACCCGTGTTGTTATGAGAAAAACTATGCTGTTATGAAATGAAATATGCTGTTATGAAAGTAAACAGCTGTTACGTGAAACTTTTCAATTCTGAGAACTAAACTGAAATGGTTACTTTTAAAAAACGGTCGTGGGTAAAATAATTAAAGGGCTTTAAGTAGACTGTAATTGTGTATATTTAAAAAACAAAGAATATAACAGATGTTAGTTAAATCATTCCAAATACAAATGTCATAGAGGAAACAAGCAATTATGAGAATATGGCAAAGAGTTTCTAACACCCCCGGTGTTGCTAGTTAGTATAAGATTCGTTCAGTTCCGTCATTTGTTTATGCTTATCATCCATAAGTTACCAAATTTTATGATAATTATTAGCCAGATTTATTTGTTTGGAAAAAGCTTTCGAACCCGCAATGGCACTTTTCAGATGAGTATTTAACATTATTTTTCATTACGATATCGAAAAACTTGTAAACAATACGAATACCTTTGTTTATTCAATATGGGGTCTGCACAGCAAAATCCCATACCGGTTACGTTCCGTGCACCACAAATGCACAGAAAGTTAACGTTATGTAATTTTGCTGCAGTAGCGGAAATAACCTACTGTATTTTCTTAGTTCATTTATATCAGTTCCGTCACAGTTCCACCACAGACCAGTCACAGTTCAGTCTCAGTTGAATCCAAAATTTCTCAGTCAAATTATATAAGTATAGAGTATAGGAACGAGTAATTTTACCATCGACTGTAACATAAATTAATGTGTTGTGGATTGTCAGGGTCATTCATTTGGTTTCAGTCGGACTTGCGTTACTATATTTACAGTGATGTTACAGTGAAAAATGGTAAATTAAAACTTAATATTCTATCAAAATCTCATCCTAAATCTTGTCCATTGTTACAAACAGTACTTAAAATACAAACTCGGTAATTTAAATGAAAAACCGCACTATTTTTCTAATCTCAACTCAAACACGTCCGACAGGAGGCCGAAAACCAAAAATGTCGGTAGAAAGAAATCTGGAATTGACTGACGGACGCCGAGAGAGCGACTGACGGATTTGCGCCGGATGAGTGTATATAAAGCAATAGAAAATCCATTAAAGAATATTTTGGCTAACTGTGACGTGACTGATATATCTGATTTGTGACGTGTCGTAACTGTTATGTGTGAATCGACCTCAAAAAGTGTAGGTACTTTCGTGTGTAGGGTAATGAAAATTACTATTACATTTCGGCAAGCGACACCATTTATTTATGTTTATGATCCATACAGTTTTTGTTTAAATATTTATGTATTACTAGCAGTTACCCGGTGCGCGCATCGATGTAGGCCTATAATACTCTACGGGTGCGCGTTGCAGCGCTAACAACTATTATTTTAAACTAGTGCTTCTGTTGCTCGTATTCGAGCATTGCAAAGTATTTCAGGCATTATTTCAAAATGAATAACAGTAATAATTTCCGATGACTTGAAAGAGTCAACTCAAAGATGATGTAATCAATCACTCCACTCAAGTTATCGAAATTGAAAACCATAAACGAATGAAAACG